ACTTACTAAGTGGGATGCACATCCAAGTAATTATCAAATACAGTCAGCTGAAAAGGTAAGCTTTTCGCAGTGTCAGATTGGCCTTTCACCAGGGGAATTCAGTTTTTTTTCCTTGCATGATCATGTGGGGCCGTTCAGTTGCAAGTTGGTGTATGAATCCTGACGTACTTCCCAGTTATTGTACGTAGTTGTAAAGAAATTGACCTATCTTGGGGGCTCCATCATTGTAGGAGGATGATGGGGGAAGAACAAGAACTGCAACGTGATGTTAAGACCCTGACAGCTGGATGGTTATATCCTGTTCTATCTATGTGCGAATGAGATTCTACATATCAATACGATGGTTATATTGTATTACATTATATGAATCTGAAGAGGTTTCTAGTATAAATACATAATGCATATATGTATATATACATGTATAATGTACATATATATATATATATGCACGTGTATATATATATATATATATACATGTATTATATATTGTATACATACAATATATATATATATATATATATTGTATATTGTGTATGTATATATATATATATATTGTATATTGATTGTGTATATATATATATTATATCCACGATGCCAATGTACACAATACCTGGTCTTTCATAGGGATCATTGAGTCAATTGCTGGCTCTTGCCACCAAGAGCACCTTTTTGGGGGTCCAGGGATGATAGAAATCTGAAGCAAATGGTGATTAAATTGAGCCTTAGCCATCAAACATGGTGAGTGAGTGGGGGTTTAACCATCCATGATGTTCAGAATGGTTTCTTGTAGTCTGAAACGCAGTTAACCAAAGTAGATTCCTTATGCGTTTAGTTCTCGATTGGTTTTTGTGCTCCCGGTTTCATGTGGTGCATTGAAACCACCCGGCTGTTCAAATGCCTCCTCCCTTGAGCGTCATCCCACTTAGTAACTGACGATCACCTCGGCGATCGGCGGGATGATTCTCCACGCACAGCAATAAGCGAACACGTGCCTGGGCACGACGACATCTATGCCTAAGATGTGATGAAGCCAAGATGCTGCATATATCCCTGGGAGAAATTTGGTGAGGTCAAAATTCTAATCACATACTCCATGATTGGTGTACTTATGAACATTTTTGGCGGCAAGTCTGGGAAAACAATTCTTTACTCCAATCCAATTAATATCAAATATACCATACCTCACATATGATTAGTAGGGTCAGTACTACAAAAAGTGCATAATTGCTTGTATTTTATGTTAGGGGGCAGTGATGCCATGTGATGCCAGTGTATCAATTATATCCACATTATATACATCATTATATCCCCAGAGTATTCTCAGTGTTGAGCGTGAATATATATAATTATATATCGTATATATCCTCTGGTAATGACTAACATAGCTATGGAAAATGACCCATTTACAGATGATCTTCCGAGCTAGAAACCTCCATTTAATCATTTTTTTCATGGATTTTCCAAGCGCCAAAGTTTCATGAACTGTCATGAATGGCTGAAGATGTTCGTTTCATTTTCCCATGTGTCTCCGATATTGCGATGGTGAATCTCCCCAGTGGATCCCCATTCGGGGATTGGAGGATGATCCCACGGATGAGTTGAGTGGTTTTGTTGAGCGTTAGTCCAGCGAAGTTATCCCAATTAAATCAATGGCCATAACTGTGTTTACTGGGAATAATAACCATAGTTATACTCATAAATTGTGTTAACTAACCAGTTCCTAATTATGTCAATGGCCATGACTCAGGAACCGATTGATTGGAGGTACCTACCATATATAAGGCCTAAGGCCTATGTAAGGGGATATACCCCCAAAATATGGCCTTATATGGTACTAACGTACCTCCATTTTAGGATCCTGAAATTCCCATTGATTATGTGTTAATTATATATGTCACATGACGGATCCATGGTGCTGGTATATATGCTAACATAAAGGGGGTATATTGATGGGATCCATGTTACCATATATGGCAGCACCATGGATCCTATGTGTTATTCAATGGGAATTTCAGGATCCTAAAATGGAGGTACTGTACCATATAAGGCCATATTTTGTGGTGATATTCACTTACATAGGCCTTATATAGGCCCTATATATGGTAGGTACCTCCATTTTAGGATCCTGAAATTCCCATTGAGTTATTGGCAGTTATTGGATTCATCACGCACGAGCATCTCCGACTGTGTTTTGCCTCGGATGCTTCGCTCGTGTTGTGTTTTTCGCCGTGCGCCCGCCTTTGGGATGTTCCGGTGAAACGGTTGCGCCCTGCTGAAACCATTGGCCGGACTCGCAGACTGTCACTCTTAGCCTCTGGTAATTTAACGTAGCTATTGAAAATGGCAATTTATAGTGGATTTTCCCATTAAAAATGGTGATTTTCCATAGCTATGTTAGTTTACCAGAGGGTATGTGTTTAAGCTTTATTCTTCCTAGAATCATAATCCCCAAAATGTGGAAACAAACATCAGTTTAGCTTGAATTTCATGTAGTTTCATGCGTTGAAAAATTCTCTTCCATTCTTCCATTCGACGTGCCATGGTGGATAGATCTCCAGTGGCACTGCGGCGGCTGCTGGATTTCCATGGATTTCCCCTGCTGGATTTCCACGGAGTTCTTCAATGAATTTCCGTTTCAACCCAGGGCACGGGCCCGAAAAAAGTGCTGCAACATGCTGCAACAGAGCCTGGCAATCGGGGCTAGACCTTAATAGATTATATATATATATGGATATTATTCGATTTATGTTTGAGAAGTGATACGTAGTGATACAGTATCACTATGCATCACTTCTCAAACATAAATCACTTGTGTATACCTCTTGGTAATGTGACAATTCTATAGACTTCTTAGTTTTTGCTTGTTGAAAACCCCTGAGTTAGCGGAGTAGATATGCAATGCATGGTTCTTTGCACCTAGTGAATCTTGGCTGTGGATCAATTTATCCACAAATCGCTTCGCGTTTTTTGGATGCGAATTGCCGGGTACCAAGTGTTTAATCCAACTAAATACTAATGAGATAGTTGTATAAATAAGCACCTGGTACCAACTATAGTATATACTAACGTATTTTTATCCAACTAAATACCAATGAGATAAACACAATAAAATATGAGATAGTTATCAGAACTCAGGGGATGATTATGGGTTTTTTTCGGGGTTTCATAGTATGATATAGTACGATGACCTCAATGAGTAAAAAAACTTCATCCCTTCTCCCCAAAATGAAGAGATCCCATGGAGTTCCTGCTTATCTCCTGCTTATCGTCATGTGGAGGTTTCCTAGGCCATGGGGCTACCCCCAAAGGCATCATCCATGTGATTTTCGGATTTACCATGAACCATGATCCAGCGAGCTTGGGCTACTAGCCAGGCTAGGGTTCCCCCCTTGTTGAGCACATCCTGTGACATTACCCTCTGGTTATGACTAACAGTTTGCCATGGTATGGATGGCCCATAGAAATAGATGGTTTACCGTTCTTAAACATGGGTGGATTTTCCATGGCTATGTTGATTAACCAGATGGTACCCCAAATCAAAGATGATGAGTCTTTACCCGCAAGCCATTAGTGCTTGGTGGTGACTGGAACCATGGAATTTTGAATCACTCACTTTCCGTATGAATTGGGAATAATCATCCCAACTGGACGTGGGTCAAAATGGAAGACCTAGGGGACCACAGATGTGAATGTCTAGTTTAATATTAACCATTCAATTATTGGGGTACCTAATTTTGACCCATACCCAACTGACTCTCATATTTTTCAGAGGGGTTCCAACCACCTGGTCGCATCTGACAGGAGATTTGGTAAACATCCCAACGTCCCCCAGAAAAAGGTAAACATCCGAAAATTACCATCTGGTTATGACTGACATAGCCATGGAAAATCACCATCTTTAATAGGTAAACCATCTATAAATGGGCCATTTTCCATGGCTATGTTAAATAACCAGATGGTATCCATCTTTCTGGGTACTTGGAGGGTCTAGGTATCCACATTTCGAAAGAAAGCAATTGAACCCTGCCCATGTTGTATCGCAAGACTTTGCGTTCATTGGATTCAAAGCATTGAAAACAATGACAATACTAACGGTAAACAACATTAAACAACTATATATATATATGTTATATTATTCAGAGTACACTGATAGGAAAGATAACACACAATATTTTTTGATAGCCTATCTTGACAATAAACATGAATACAGCAATACTAGTACTGAACATGGCATCCCTAGGGTTTGTCCAACGCCTTATGAAGTTGACCAAATTCCCCAAGTTAATTATGACATACTCCTGAAAAAGGGAGGAAGTGAGATATGTAAGCCAATAAGCAGACCAAAACAGGGATCCTCTGATATTACCCTCTGGTTATGACTAACAGTTTGCCATGGTTTGTTGATGGCCCTAATCGAAATAGATGGTTTACCTATTAAAAATGGGTGGATCTTTTCATGGCTATGTTAAATAACCAGATGGTAACTGGTTGGTGGTTTGGAACCATGGAATTTTGAATGACTTTCCATTCAGTTGGAACATGTGTTACCCTCTGGTAAACAGTCCCAAAAAACTATGGTTTTTTTTACATCACCAGATGGTAACAATTAAATGTTCCAATGAGAATCTCAGCATCCATGGAGAGGTTGTCCTCCATGAAATCCGTCCCATCATCCGTTGGATCCCTATACCGGGCAGGTAGCAGGTGCATCAGATCATGAGATCCATAGAAAAAAACGAGTTTCACATCTTGGAAAACCTCCATAAACAGGTGAAAACATGGTTCATAACTTACACACAGATCCATCACATTATCACATTGAATAACACAAATTCTACTGTAATATTCCAAAAGACATTGAGAAGACTACATATAAGAATCTATAGAATTCCATCCATGTTTTTCTTAATTCAAAAAATCCTAATTTAATAGAATCCATAGAATTCTAAACAAGAAATCCATGAAATCCATTTGAACATCAGTGTTTTTCCGCGTTTTAGGCACTGGGGCAGCTCTACAACGCCTTGGCCTCTGGCCTCAAGGTGCATTCGCAGGCGTGCGGGGACGGTGAAAAAAGGGATCTGGGAAGTTCGTAGGTTTTCGTAACTGGAGTTATCACCCGTTTATAAATGGGATAAACATGGATAAGCCATATGAATCCATATGATTCAAAATTGATAGACAACTGGTTGGTGGTTTGGAACATTTTTTATTTTCCCCAATAGTTGGGATGATGATCCAATCTGACTTTCATATTTTTCAGAGGGGTTGAAACCACCAACCAGGATAAGCATGGATAAGTGGATAAGCCATATGATAAGATTGATAAGCCACTGGATAAGCCATATGAATCCATATGATTCAAGATTGATAAGCCACGAAGAAGAGGACGGCTACTAGCTGTAGAAAAAAGGCAGGTCCATGGGATGAGAACAGTAAAAAACAGTGGGTGGCATCCATGGTTTCGCCAGTCTTTTTCGCCACCAGATCTAACCAGTTAACTAATTTCAGGGCCCATCTAAGAGTGGTTATTTAACATATGGAAAATTCACCAGAACTAAAGGGGTAAATATCAGAAATAAAAGGGCCGTCTAGACCATAGCAAACTGTTTTTCATCACCAGAGACGATAGTTGAAAATTGGGCCATTTGGAAACTGTTGTATTTAGCAACTGAAGCCATCCATCACAGAAATGCTTTTTTCGGCAACATCGGGTCTAGAACTTGGGGAGAAATTGATCCAAGTAGCTTCTGACCTATTTGCAGGGTGATTTTTTTTGTTTTTTTGTTGGTACCTGATCCTTTGGATTCAGACTATTGTATTTTAATATGTACATATATATATATATATCCAAAATATGTATTTTGCAAAGCATAGATACAGGGGTTACAATATATATATATATAATATAAATCCCAACTTATAAAGATGACAGTATGTTGATCGTGAGATTCCACAATCACCATATTGGTTATTTAGTGAATATACAAAATATCCCAATGTTTTTGTTTGCCCATGAAATATCAGTCATGTTTGTCCATATTTCTATGTGTCATTTTTTTTCACAGATCCCATGAAATATTAGACTCTCCGGTGATTTTTCACATATTGAAGATGGACACTGCTGATTTTACCGAACTTGGCAAATGGGTTTGTCTGAAAATAGGGTATATTCCCAATTATAGCCATTTAATAGGGATAATGATCATTAACCATTGGGTTTAGGGGTACACTATTTTCAGACACACCCAAATGATGGATTTTCTTGGGACTTTCAAAGTCAGTCGGGGGGTAGCCCACGTGCACCATGGGTAGGTTACCCATGTCATTCCAGGCCCTGCGTGCGCAAGTGCCAGCCTTGGAGGCGGTTTTATACAGACATGGCTGGGAGATCCACGGTTAACACGGCATGCTGGGAAAATCCACGAAGATGGTACCCGGCCTGGTAAACATACAAAAAGCTATGGAAAATCACCATTTGGAATAGGTAAATCAACTGTTAATGAGCCATTTTCAATAGCTATGTTAAATTACCAGAGGGTAATTGATTGAATTTCCATTGCTGTGAAGCCCAAATGCCAAAGAACATGGGAACATCACTCAAAGAATGGGAAGATGCAGTCAAAAAGTAAGAACACGCGCAAACAAAACTTGTTGGGGTATGTAGTCAACAAAATATGGGTGCTCACTTCGAGAAACGGGAATACGCAATTGAACTGGGAAACTACTCAGAACAAAACATGGCTTTGCCTTGAAAAAAGCTGGGGGATGTAGTCATCAAATTAGCCTTGAAACACGGGACTTAAACCATAAAACATATGGGAGACAAGCAAGCCGAACGTCAACTACAACAAAAGGTGGAAGGTGGCCAGCCGCATGGAGATATGCAGTATTCGCTGGTCTTTCGGAAAATGGAGGATACCCATAAGATTGCCATGTAAACATATACTGCCAGACTAGCATGTTCCCCACAGACCCTTAGCTATTGGACAGCATCAACAATAAACAAGTAAGAAAAAAGTTTGAACAGGAGCCCACTAACATAGCTATCATTTTACAGCACTCAGGGTTTCCAACATAGAAGGAAGCCCACTAACATAGCTATCATGTTGTTCTCCACCGCACGTATAACATAGATTTATCAAAAAAGGACGCTGCTAACATAGCTATCCATTTTTCCTGGGATAATACAATTTTACAGCAAAACTAACGTGGAAAATACGTATGTTTTATGTTTTGTATAAGTTTTTTAAGGGACGTTAGTTTACCAGAGTGTAACTTGTGTTGATTCTGTGTAGAAGATTATCAATGATGTTTTTGGGCAGCCCATGTTTCAGGCCAACCATGACCAACCCGTATAGCCAACAAAATGTCAGTGTCTGAGTTTCACAGTCGGAAATCGCGATGGCAGTGATAGAATTTGATGAAGGCAAATTCAGGTATGATCTATTCCATTTCTATTCCCTTATTATCAGACAACGATTCTAAGATCACGCACATCACATCACGCTACAAGGGCATTCGGATTGTAAACCTTGCATTCTTGAAGAAGATTTGTATGGGCCGTGACGCAAACTTGGCAACTTCTGCGAAAGTTGTCCGGGATATCACACAGCAGGGATCAAGGATCAGAGCATTTGTGACGACGTAAATTCACCGTTGCTTGCGACATTCCTGAACTCACAGTGCACTGTCTTAAGCGCTTCTTCAGAAGACACCGAAGACGGATGCAAATGGTGTGTCGAAGCCCGATATGTTCACAGTGCCTCCCACAGCGCCTCCCACACGGTGAACGTTTTCATCCCAGGGACTAGCGCAGCCAACCCTCAGTTTGGGTGGTTACAACCCCATCTAATGATGTTTGGCAGGGGATAAATGAGAATCTGGCTGTAACAAACTTGGACAAGTCCTGAAAAACAGATTGGCGACTGCATAGCCAACCTCACAAAAAGTGTTTTTTTTTTTATATGAGTATAAGGAATCATTCGAAAATTGGCCCTTCAAGAAGCTTAAGAATATTGGCGTGATACAGTTGGAACCTCATTGAAGATCACCATGCCTTGTTGACCATCTGCACAAGCGATGGCTGCAGGCCCTTCTTGAACCATCGAAATTCGGTGAGATGTTATACATAAAGAACACCCTCTGGCAAACAAACACAGCTATTGAAAATGGCCATTTAGAGTTGATTTACACACTAAAAAGGGTGATTTTCTATATAGTTGTTAGTCATTACCAGAGGGTAGCCTGAACATAGGGCACCCCGAAATATGGTTGATCACAAGTTCCCTATCATGTGGCTGGCTGAAAAAAGAGTCTCCGACTCCGACTCCGACACTGGTTGGAAAGAAAGCTCAGAAAAGATCTGTTGGTGACTTTCTGATTCTTCTAATGCTTAGTGTTGAACATATGCATGTCGGATATGAATTCCACATGCTGGTTGGTTCATTCCCCTTGTTGGCTTTGAGGTTCTCGAATCCCCATGATCGCTGCATATTGGTTTGCGACTTCCGCCTTTGCATCAGTTGCCTTTTGTAGAAAATCTTCAAGAAGTGCCATTGATGGAACTCCATGATTTGCATTATTTCTGATACCTTGTTTTCATCCACGTTTTAGATCTTGTTCCTACTGTTCATCACTTCTGATCCCTATGATTTCCCATGATTTCCCTATGATTTACCATGGTTTCCCTTATTTTCACGTGATGTCCCTCGTGATTTCGGGGGTTCACCTCATTTTCCGAGAAAAGGCGGTGCTCAAAACGGCGGAGGCGAATTTGGCACACGCCCAGGCAGCGGCGGAAGCGGTGATGGGATTCATGGGGGAGTTCAAGGGGTTCATGCTATGGCAGCTATGGTTGATTAATGGGATTGCCATTTGGTAAACTAACAGTTTGCTATGGAAAATGACCATAGAAATAGTTGATTTACCCATTCAAAATAGTGATTTTCTATAGTTATGTTAGTCATCACCAGAGGGTAATATGGATGAATTCCATCGAGAATTCTCATTGAAATCACCATGTTTGAAATTTTCCCAGGGATTTGATGGTGATGATTTTTGGATTTTCATTGGAAACCTGACCAAGATCAATGGGCTTTTGCTGGGATATAATGGGAATATAATGGGATATAATCTATCCGGTGGTGGAGGGGAGGGGTTCATAGCCGCTATGGGGAGTTGAGTTTTGCCAACCACTTGATAGACTTATGGTTCGCCTCCAGTAACATGGTTATCAAATCATGGAAATCATGGAAAATCACCGTAGATCGGGAGATCATGCAAAACACTATGGGATATTCGCCAGGAAAGGTAATGCAACTTGCGCATCAAACATGGTGCTTTATTGTTTTTAAATGGACATATAGTGTGAATTTTGTTGTTATGTTTCTTTCGATATAACTAATTACTGTAGTTTGTGGGTTTACAACTAACACAATTGATTAGTTGGTGGTTTGCAGGTTGTGTATAGTAATAATGATGATGATGATACTAATTATAATATGATTTCATCAGCAATGCTGGGATATTCGTCATTGAATTGCTGTGACTGTAGTTTGGGATGTGATACGATATGAACACACACATATATATATATATATGTACAGGAATATCATGGGATATGAAATGTATTATTAATTAATGTGTTTATGATAGGCATGTACAGTTCGAATGGTAGTATTGTATGAATGATGGCTTTAATTATTTTACCATTACATAATATCATAGGGATATGGGGTAGGCATATCATATATTTACTGTATATAGAATATGCACGCAATAATAATGATATTATTCACCATGTTCTGCCCATGAATTTCATGTTACACAGTCATATGCAGATATGTATACAAATCTAACTATGTTCATTCATGAGGCCATTTCATGATGGGATATAACTATATCAATCATGATATTAACCGTCAAGAATTGTGAGATATGGGTTGTTTAACTTGTGACATCATGTGACCCCCCAACAAGATAGCCATTGGCCATACCATCGAATTGGGGGGGTTGGACATATTCCCCTAAAAAGATGGGAAGCCAAAGAGAATTGAGTTTCCCAAGCACTGGAGATAGTAGTAAATTAAGATATCAAAGACATCATATCCCCATTATATCCCTATGAAATGGTAGTCATACGGGGTAAATCAGCTGTAAATAGTCTTTGACCATTCAAGATAGCTATGATAAATCATGATACATCCACATTGTGAATTGAATAGGTAATTCATTTATAGATAGCCATTGTCGTAGCATTTGGATGAGGGACATGGCTGTGAATGCTCCGCATCAGCTGGTGGATCGCCCGGAGATGACACCCGCATGACCAACACATGTCCATAGCTATCTCTGTAATAGGTATAATATGGAACCATTAAATGGTAGAACCTATAATATGGAACCATGAATATGGAGCCATTAACCAACACATGTCCATAGCTATCCATAAGCATCGCATAATATTCATCCCATAATTTTCACACATTCATCCCATGAAATCCCATGGAAAAGAATCAATAACTGGTTGGTGGTGACTGGAGCCATGGATTTTTGAATGACTTTCCATATTAATTGGGAATTTCATCATCCCAACTGACGAGTTGTCCATCATTTTTCAGAGGGGTAGGTATACCACCAACCAGCAAAACAATGCCATGAATCTGGGAAATCATAGAAAATGATGGGAACATATGGGAAAATACACTATTTATATGGAGGAATTGTCCAATGATTTCGTCACTAATGTGGGTAAAACAATGTCATAAAACACCCTTTTGGGAAGGGTAAAGATACCACCTATAAAAATGGTGATTTGGGGGATGGTGTATGAAATTGTTTTACCATGTTTTACCCACATGTAAAAAGAATATGAAATCATCCCATCCCATCCCATGAAATCCCTGAAATTCCAGGCAGCCGAGGCAGCTGCTGCTCTCCAGGCTACAATGGATCCTGCGGCGGAGGAGGAGGTGTGAACTGGATGGCGGATTTAGCATGACTTAGCCACTTTATATGTATATATATATATGTATTATATTCTGGATATTACATATTTTGATCATAATATGTATATTTAATATTTTGCATGTGTATATATGATTCTGTGTTTCTACGTGTAAATATGTATTACTATTATGTATATACTACTATTATACATACATTACTATTATATATATATATTATATTATTATATTACTATTATATCTATATATATTACTATTATATATATATATTACTATTATATATACATATATATATTATTTTTATACATTACTATTATATATTACTATTATATATTACTATTATATATTACTATTATATATTACTATTATATATTACTATTATATATCTATATATATTGTATATTACTATTATATTTTTCTTATATATATATGTTGTTTATCTAAATATTATATTATGTATATCATCATGTATATACTAGTATAGCTGTGTGTGTAGTGATGCATGATATGATATAGTATATATGTATATTTCCTGCCTGACGAGTTCAACGTTTCCCAGCACCAGGGAGCCATGCTCTCCGTCAACCAGGGAGCCATGTTGTGAATTTGTTGATTTCACTCCGTTTCACACCCATTTTGGGATGGGTCAAGTTACCTATTATTGACATACAGTAGATGGACAAATTATTCAAACCCCGCATCCATGAGTTGTAGGCTACCCCCTGTCCCCCCAAATTTCAACGTGATGATTTCGTATCTTTGTTCCTGATCTTAGGGTTTGATTTATTTCGTCCATTCGAAGGAGCGAACCAAACCAAAAAAACAACATTGTAATTGGGGGTGCGGGGGGTTATTGGATTACAAGGGTTTGAATGATTCGTCCATCTACGGTACGCGGAGCGGTGGTCAGCAGGAGCGCAGAGAATGTGAAGGGTAATTTTTCCTAGTTTGTAGTTTTGTTTTTCTGTTCCGTGATACTGTACGTTGTCTTTATGCGCGCTTTGCTGGTTCAGTTCCGGCCTTCTTCCATGTCCTTTCCTTAAGCGTGATTGCAACTGCTGTGCTTTTCCAACTTCCTTCCCTAGGCATGATTGCAATTCCTGTGTTTTTCCAACTCCCTTTCTTGGGCGTGATTGAAAATGCTGTGTTTTTCCAATTCCCTTTCCTGGGCGTAATTGAAAATGCTATGTTTTTCCAATTCCCTTTTCCGGGTGTGATTGAAAATGCTGTGTTTTTCCAGTTCCCTTTCCCGGGCGTGATTGAAAATGCTGTGTTTTTCCATTTCCCTTTTCCGGGTGTGATTGAAAATGCTGTGTTTTTCCAGTTCCCTTTCCCGGGTGTGATTGAAAATGCTGTGTTTTTCCAGTTCCTTTCTTCAGCGTGTACGAAATGCACGAAGTCCTGTGTTTTTCCAGTTCCCTTTCCCTTTCCCAGTTCCCTTCCCAGTTCCCTTCGCGGATTCCTTGTGTTTTTTCCAAGGAAAGTGCGTTGCATATTTTTTTCTCTAAAAAAGAAAACGTTTTTGTTTTTTCTTTAAAAAAAATTGCAACGCACTTTCCTTGGAAAACACAGGGAATCCGCGAAGGGAACTGAGAAGGGAACTGGGAAGGGAACTGGGAAGGGAATTGGAAGGGAACTGGGAAAGGGAAAGGGAACTGGAAAAACACAGGACTTCGTACATTTCGTGCACGCTGAAGAAAAGGAACTGGAAAAACACAGCATTTTCAATCATTCCCGGGAAAGGGAACTGGAAAAACTGCATTTTCAATCACACCCAAGAAAGGGAACTGGAAAAACAGCATTTTCAATCACGCCCGGGAAAGGGAACTGCAAAAACACAGCATTTTCAATCAAACCCGGGAAAGGAACTGGAAAAACACGGCAGTTGCAAGCACGGCCGGAATGGGAACTGGAAAAGCACAGCATGTGGGAGGACCTTCGGACACGGACAGCTGAAGTGGGTTTTATCATCTTCTATTGTGGCGATATCATGTGAGGACTTATTTTTTGAAAACGACAGGTGTCTTGTCAACGCAAGAAATGGAAGAAATAAAAGTATTGAGGGATACATGGCGGGTCTCATCATCCACTTTTGTGGCGTTGTGACCGGCTTTGCTTTTCAAACATGGGGTGACTTCTTTGCTTAAAAACAAACAGGTGACTCAGGTGGTGACAGGTTGTGTATTGTCAATGCATAGCTGTGGAAGAAACGAATACATCGAGGATTCATGATGGGCCTTATCATTCACCTTTGTGGCGTTGTCACTGGGCTTGCTTTTAGATTCATTGTGACAATCGGGAGGATACAATTTGTGAGTTCTTAGCAAAAACATATGCCAGAAAAACTGCAAAACCATGATGAGAAAGTAAGCGCGTGAGACAGTAGATGGACAAATTATTCAAACCCCGCATCCATGAGTTGTAGGCTACCCCCTGTCCCCCCAAATTTCAACGTGATGATTTCGTATCTTTGTTCCTGATCTTAGGGTTTGATTTATTTCGTCCATTCGAAGGAGCGAACCAAACCAAAAAAACAACATTGTAATTGGGGGTGCGGGGGGTTATTGGATTACAAGGGTTTGAATAGTTCGTCCATCTACGGCATGACTGGAGGAATAACCATCCATTAGCCAACTATTTTAGTTGAAGACTTTCACTTAGCACCTTTTTTAATACCAAAACCACAACAACACCAAAACGTACATTGGCTTTGTGGGTCTAAAAAATAACTATGTGGCGTCACTTGCCAAACCTTGCCGGTAATTGGTGCTTTCAAGTACCCTCCGGTGTCCTCAAACGCAGCAAGGTGGGAAAGGCATCAAACTCAAATGGGGGAGTGAGTCACTACAATTCATCCAGACATCATAGAATCCGTACATGTTTGTTGTTTATATCATGGATAATCTATACAGATATACATCAAAACATGATACAAATATATTTCAATATATATTTATATATATATAGTTATATATATATACATATGGTATATAAAGACTATGTATATATATATATTCTCCCTGTTATGTCCCCGTCATTTCCCAACATTTCATGCATTGAAACCTGGTCCCAGGCAGATGTTCCTCCTGTGGACCATCAGGCTGCATTGCAAGAGGCCAAGAAGGCGTGGCGGTCGAATGACTTCGTTTCAATTACCGGGCAGGGGTTTTTTAGCCATTCAACCGGGGTTGTTCTTTGCGTTTTTTTTGCGGATGTTGAACATCACCTGAAAAAAATGAAAACGTATTTGTTGGAAATGATATCCCCGTCGGGTGAGGTTTAGGACATTGTACCAACCCCTGTTCAAGGGAGGGATATGGGCAATTTCACCATTTGGAAATTCGTTTCACCCAAAAAGAAATCAGACAAGGCAGGGAACTTCGCCATTTCAGCTTTATATTTAGCCGTTTACCCCAACTGACAAACAAGGTGTTGGGAGCAGCCCTGATAAATGATTTTGTTGGGATTTATCATAAATTTTGGAACTGGACCCGTTACTTTTCTGAATATCGTCGGAGTCTGCTATAACATTTACTGTAGCACGCAAAAAAAAATATATATTATAAATGTATCATATATAAAACAATTTGAAACCAATGTTCCATGGTTGAATGCACTTATAGTGACCAATGTTAACTACAAACATTGACACTGATTATAACGCTGATCTTTGACCCCATGTTAAATGTTAACTGTTAATAAAGCCCCTACTCTTGAATTTAATGGGTGGATTTGAGTGGGATATAACTTGATCTAACCGCCGTTTTGGCGGAGCATGCGCTTCCCTACGTATTTTGATGGTTGGAAGTTGGAAGGGATCACCCTGTGGTGATCCCTAGGGTAAACATTTCCGACGTGGAAAAGCCGCCATTTGTAGATCACGAAAAGCCCATGGGGAAAAACCCATGGGTTTTCCACATCCTTTAACGTACGTTCATAGAGTACGTTCATAAACTTCCTGTCGCATTCAGAATGCGGATCCTTATGAATCGCTTATGAATAGCACACCCCGTAACGACTCACAGTTTAAGCGAAGCTGGAAAATATGGCCCATGAGAGTAGTTGATGTACCAAAAGAATCCAAAAGAAACCTGGTGATTTTCCATAGCTAGTTTGCTAACCAACTCTTCACCAAGCCCTTCTTAAGATATATTAATATTAGCCTCCCTTTCCCGAAAAAAAACCATTCCTTAAGTCAGCTTCCGCAGCCCTCCCCATCTCCGAAGTGAGCGAACAAATAAGGCGCACTTCGTGGCACAAAGAAACTTGGAACTCCTACAGGCCTGGAAGATGATTTTCCATGAGCCATCTAGGGGATGATGACAAGCCATAAGAATACTAGATGGCTTCATTAACCATATTAATCATATTAACCAGTTCATTAATTAACCATATGAATATGATAATACGATGAATATGAATATGTATATTAACCAGTTCTGTCTCCCAGGCTTTGTTGATGTTTTGTATATCTATCGTTTTAAGTCAATCGGTACTATAGAATGATTGAACATTGCCCAAGTACATCGTTGTATAGCTATATATATATAATATATATATACACTACATATATATACATGTATATCTATCTATCTATCTATCTATCTATCTAAATATTAGATGTGCCTTCAAGTTACAGGGCGTATTTTCGAATTCAGATGGGATGGTGATCTCCCATTCAGAGGTTTTTTTTTCCGTAGCCATTGTCATGAATCGATCACCAGTTGATGTCCGATGTGTTATTTAAGGAGAAACCAGTGGTTGGGGGACCCCTTCCATTTTTTTTCGGACCCAGACATGATCCCGATTTTTGCGGAAGGCATGCTGCTGCATACCCAATAGTTTTTCAGCCCAGTTCAAGACATGTGAATTGACATTTGATATCATTTGATGAAGTTTCCTTGCAAGAAATCCCTCCTGTTTTGGATGCTTCGGCCTCCATTTTGAGGGTCCCAAGGTCCCAAAAGAAATCCGGGAGTCCCCAAGGGTCCTTGCTACAGCCGTAGGCTGAGCTGGAGAGCAGCGAAAGTAATCAAACGTGGAAGCCGCCAGAAGTGGAGGTCTGCCACTGCTGCGCCGCTGCTGCGCCGCTAAGCCAACTATCAAAATCCTACAAGCTGAGGCTCACGTATGATAGCTAAGTTGACTTATACATCATTTAATGAAAATTAAAGGTGAACTGTTGGGATTTTATAGGGATATATATAATATATATATATATAGATCTGGGATATAAGATGATATAGCTGTAGGTATTGGGCAGCTTACAACTGGGCCTCACCTTGACCTATCCAGTCCCAGCGAAGTGGCACATGTTATCTTCGGTGCCCCAATCTAACCAGTTTTTTTTGGTTTTGATGGTGAAATTGAGAGGCTGGGTCCCAATTTGTTGATGTCGTCGGATGTCGTCAATAACTCGTGGCATTTCTCCAAAAGGGACCCGCAGGATTTGAATCGCTGCCAGCCCCTGTCAATGGTTACACACGCCTGGTTGGAGATGGGCCGGGGATTCCAAGTAGGGCTTAAGCGGAAGATTCGGCTGATTTTATCTGCCACGAGGAAGTACCTGGATACAATACATGCTGAGATATTCTGAGATTGTAAACAAACGTGGCGGTCTAGCAGATTGTCATGCAAGTATATATGTATATCCTAGACCCTCCAAGTACCCATAAACATCGTGTTTTACCCCATACAGTAGTTGTTAGTAACCGTTAGTACATTTACATACTTTTACCATCTTTTACCATTCTTGGTGGAATTTGGAGGGCCATCATTTCCCCGATTTCCAGCGGGTACATTATGTTATGTTATAACTTGCCAACAAAAAGTACACCAAGCAAAAAAAATATCGGTACATTAACTAGGTCCCCTTGTTACAAATCCGGGTTATAGTTGGTTTAAAAGCCCCATTAACATCCATTAACTATAGCTGTGTGACCCATAGTCACCATACACTGGACCATTAAAGCGCAACCTAAATGCAGCATTATCCGGGCATAGTGCCTAAATTTGATGAAACAAATGTTCAGGAAGCTTGTGCTTCCTAAATGCTGCGTTTACATTGGGGAATGCACAAAACGGACGCGGAGGGATCACATTGTCCTTTTACTGTTAGCAGATCCTCACCTTGTATGTGGTACTCGACAGAGTTTAACTCATCAAGATTGTTGACCCACTGAAATGTGCAAATCCGATCCACAAAGCCCTGAAAAAAACGGGTGAAATCGCTGTTTCAGGATCATTTTCGAAAGCGCAACTATTCTGAATGTAAACCAATCTCACGGTCTTGACATGTTCTGAACATGTCATATTTCCATGGAAGCAATTTCCATGATCATTGGGAATTACGTGTAAAGGATTTTCCGCATTTTGAAGTTATAAAAACTCTAGTATGTTGTTGTCAATCAAACTAGTGAATCGAGTTGATTTCAACAGGTTGACATAAATCTGAAAGCTGGAACCATTCATGAAATATGGTCGTTTCCTTATTTCCTTCAAGTTTTTCCTCAAAAAGGCGCGCCTTTTTCGACCTGCGCCGGTTCCGCAGGTGGACCCTGAAACGCAAGCAGCCATTGAAGCTGCCAAGGAAGCACAACAAGCTGCGGCCAAGGCCAACGGGGGAGGATGTGGAGCATCTTGGATCCGAGGTGAAAAAATCTCATGGTTAAGAAGTTCCCAATTCGTGGCTCTCGGATATATCCCACTTATATCATCTATCCCAATGTACCCCGGCGCCATGGCCCTATCCATCACGATCCAGGGGACAGCCATGCAGAACATCGAGATTTCCCAACTTTTTCCACGTCAAACGTACGGCTGAACCGCAGTTTAGCCAGTTTCGCCTATAAATGTACATGGTTCCACATGCGAGATCATGCGAGAATATACACTTATGGAACATCACCATGTTTCACCGATTTTTTGCATTGGTTCATTGATGGTGGTCTCCGGGTCGATTCAAGTTATTCCTTGGGCTGGAAAGGACCACATGGAAAAATAATAAAACATGATAGAACTATTTGTGTTGTGGTTTCAGAATGTTTCAGATGTGTTCTATGTTTTTCAAATTGTCCATGCCTAATCACCACATAGTCGGATTGTTGCTTTCAACTTTCTGTTTGTTCTACCACGATCTTATAAAAACATATTTTCAATCAGTGTCATCTCTCCAACATCTCCTGATCTTTACCATTCATATATTTGGAATTTATATATATAATTATATATATATATATATTTGATTATTTGGACATGTTCCCAGGATTTCCCTGTGATTTCCTGTGATTTTGCCCATCATACCCTCTGGTAAACATACAAAGAACTACGAAAAATCACAATGTTTCATGGGTAAATCAACTATAAATCACAATTTTCAATAGGTAAATCATCTATAAATCACCATGTTCAATAGGTAAATCATTCATAAATCAGTAATAAATCACCATTTTCAATAGCAAACTGTTATAGTTTACCAGAGGCTATCTCCTGGATCTTTACCGTTCACAGCAATGGATTTCGCCCCAGGCGCGCGCGAAGTCCAAGCCCAAACCGGGCGACGTCCCGGAGGAACCCGAAAAGGTGGGGGTCAATGGCTGGAAAATGGGAAACATCATGGGAAAATGGAAAGCACATAGAAAATGCCTGGGAAAAATCCATTGGGAAAATGGATGGATTTTTTGGATCGGAAAAGATCATCGAACTAGGGATTTTCATGAGTTTGCAGATGTTTGATATCCCGGAGGGTTGAAGATGATATGGCTTATTTTCCGAATGGGAGGTCCACTACATCCTACTTGGGGAATCTGTTTTGGAGCAAAAACAAAGTTCAGATTTTTTGGGGGGGGTCTTGAAGCCAAGATGATGTGTTGGTGGGGAATCATGCCTGGCCGAAGCTTTCTGGTTTAGCTTTTTATAGTCATTATACAGTATTTATATGTATATATTTGTATCTATCCAGACCCATGGGTCACTGGGGAAATCTTGGGGAGTATTTGGATTTGTGTTAAAATTCAAATACTAGTATAGGGGAAAGCCAGCAAATGCAAAGCCCAGTGGTTCATAAGAATTTTCCCAATTAAAATTGTGATTTGGGGGCCCCAACACCATTCTTAGACACACCCATGTTTTTGATGAATAACACATTGAATACTTGGGGTTGAACATTGACCCAACGACAATTAAGGTTTGGGAGGGATAACCACCAACTGTTTAGCAAATTCTGATGTTTCGTTGACAGAATCAACCATCAAAGTGACGATCATCAAGGAAGAGCTAGGGATAACCACCGGTGGTATCCCCCATTTTCCCCGAACGTCAGGGATAGCCCAAGTTGAGCCCTTAGAAGACTCACGGTCCGGCTCCGTGCTCAGCCACTGGCGGATCTGGCGGTGGAACATGTGGCGAAGGCGGAGAGGGTAGGTCATGCTAGGTCGAGTCCATGGGACTTTTGGGGAAGTCAGACGTTGGGTATTCAGCAGATGCACCAAACGTCGGAATCAACACAAACATGGGGAACATGTAGGGCCACTTGTGTTTAGCCGACAATGGAAATCAATTCATGAGCATGGGCATGTGAATTATGAACATGAGATGTCAAGATTATCTATGTCAACATTAGGTATAAAACCAGGTTTGGATGATGAGCACGAACCAATGTCCAACATCATTGGTTCCCTAAATGTGAAATTTTTACTCAGGTATGTGTTAGCAGATTCCTCTACCATGATTCACTTAGAGATTTTCGCACACAGAATGTCTAGCAGCAGGGTTTGCACTGCCACGCTAAACACCTATTACTGCCACGCCCTCTGCAACCCTGGAAGCCTTTGACTGCCACGCTAAAACCTTTCAAAACACATATTACTGCCACGCAAAACACCTATTACTGCCACACCCTCTTCCACACCAGAAACCTTTTACTGCCACGCTAAACACCTTTTACTGCCACGCCCTCTGCCACCCTGCAAGCCTTTACTGCCACGCCAAAACCTTTCAAAACACATATCACTGCCACGCCCCTCTCACACTAGAAACCCTTTACTGCCATGCTGCAGCCTATCAATGCCACACTACTGCCATACCACTGCCACACCGCTGCCACACCACTGCCACAGGATGATTGAATGTGTGGTTTCAGTTTCAATATATTTGGGGTTTCCTGCCTTTGGAGTCTAACCATAAAAAAACAACAAGTCGAGTCAACACCAAAATGAAGAGAACATGAACTAAGAGAAGGGCTGAAACGGCTTGTACAGCTGCAGCCGATAATCAAAGTGCAATCCATTTTTCCCAACCGCTGGTGAGATCAATGTCTCTGGACGCGCAACAACTTTCAACTTTTCTATATTGTATTTTTCAAAATCGCAGTACGTAGGAGCCCAACATGCTACCACAAATCAATTCAAATTCAAGTTGGACAGGGCGCCAAGCACAAGCCTTCACAACACCTGTAGAAAAGCAAACCGTCTTCGAATCAGTCAAGAAGCCAATAATAGTTAATAATCATCAGCTGCTTTGTTTGCCATGGCTGCTCGATGTCTGTTTGCTGGGGTTCTCCGCATAGCAGGTCGAACTGTGTCTCTTGGATTCTCTTAGTGTGGAAACGAAACTATTTCAAATTTGAAACTTCCAGGAAAGGTGTGCATCTGTGGAAAGATGTTTCTTGATAGTAGGAAAGTCACCATGTTTTGGTGGGCAAATCATATCAAATCGAATCAAATCAAATTCCTTCCCAGTAGACTCTACGACAATTTCTTAAACTTTAATTTTTGGATTTAAGTATAGACTTGACTTGCCTTTTGACTAGACTAGTGACTAGTGACTTACTATAATAAACTAGTAGCCAGTATCTAAACTAGCCTGGAACCCTAGACTAGACTTGACTTGACTAGACTAGGCTAGGCTAGACTAGGCTGACTAGACTCGGCTAGACTAGACTAGGTGCTAGCCGCTAGACTCTGCTAGACTTGACTAGACTGACTAGAGTCTAGAGTCTAGAGACTGACCAGGCGTGACTAGTGACTAGACTAAACTACGAAATCCAGAGTCGGCAGTTAAATGAAATTAAATTTAGATTTTGGCAATGCCCCAGCGCAGTTTAATTTTCTTTTCAGAGCTCAGAGTGTTCAGTAAGCTGGTCCCCCAAAAAAGGCACCCACAAGCCCCAAAATCTTTCATAAATTATGGGGAAAACACTGGATGTTTGTGACTTGTGGGTGGCTTTTCTGGTGAACAAATGTGAACCGTACTCACTGTAACAAAAATGTGTTCATCTTTCATTCTTATTTTATTCAAAAAAATATCAACCGCATTTACAGATTCCTGGGCATCTTGATTCTTGATGGAAATGAAAAATGACTGATGTTTTGAACATATTTTGTGTAGCAAATTTGATCTAATGCTAGGACCTGCTAGGAACCCACAGCACAAGAAAGCTGAGACTTGATAACTCAGATTTTGTGGCATCCAGCTCAATATTTCATTTCAGCGGCCCAAAGGAAAACCAAACATGGCAAAATGTGAAGTATTGTTTGGTAGGAAAAGGTTGAACAGGAAGCACAAAAACCTTTTTGACCTCCCCCATCAAAAGGTGGCAGGAAACAAAAACTGGTGTGGCAGAAAGCAAAGATTTGCGTGGCAGAAGCCAAATAATTATGTAGCAGAATGACGAGATTTGCGTGGCAGAAACAAACAGATTGCGTGGCAGAAACCAAAAATTTGCGTGGCAGAAACCCAAAATTCGCATTGCAGAAACCCAAAATTTGCGTGGCAGAAACCCAAAATTTGCGTGGCAGAAACCCAAAATTTGCGTGGCAGAAACCAAAAATTTGCGTGGCAGAAACCCAAAATTTGCGTGGCAGAAACCAAAAATTGCGTGGCAGAAACCAACAATTTGCGTGGCAGAAACCCAAAATTTGCCTGGCAGAAACCAAAAATTTGCGTGGCAGAAACCAAAAATTTGCGTGGCAGAGGGCGTGGCAGAGGGCGTGGCAGAGAGAGGTGCCACGCGTGGCAGCTCTCTCTGCCACGCGTGGCAGCTCTCTCTGCCACGCGTGGCACCTCTCTCTGCCACGCGTGGCAGCTCTCTCTGCCACGCGTGGCACCTCTCTCTCTCACGCGTGGCAGCTCTCTCTGCCACGCGTGGCACCTCTCTCTGCCACGCGTGGCAGCTCTCTCTGCCACGCGTGGCAGCTCTCTCTGCCACGCGTGGCACCTCTCTCTGCTACGCGTGGCAGCTCTCTCTGCCACGCGTGGCAGCTCTCTCTGCCACGCCCTCTGCCACGCAAATTTTTGGTTTCTGCCACGCAAATTTTTGGTTTCTGCCACGCAAATTTTTGGTTTCTGCCACGCAAATTCTTGGTTTCTGCCACGCAAATTTTGGGTTTCTGCCACGCAATTTTTTGGGTTCTGCTACGCAAATTTTTGGTTTCTGCCACGCAAATTTTTGGTTTCTGCCACGCAAATTCTTGGTTTCTGCCAGGCAAATTTTGGGTTTCTGCCACGCAATTTTTTGGGTTCTGCTACGCAAATTTTTGGCTTCTGCCACGCAATCTTTTGGTTTCTGCCACGCAAATTTTAGGTTTCTGCCAGGCAAATCTCGTCGTTCTGCCACCCAAATTTTTGGCTTCTGCCACACAAATCTTTGCTTTCTGCCATGCTTTGTTTCTTTTTTTTTCAATAGTTTAACGGTATTCTATATTTGGTGTTCTGCTCAACCACATGTTTGGCATTGCAAATTCTTTTGCCAAAAAAGTTTGCATTTTGTCGTTTCTGACTGAACACTTCCAACTTCCAACTGAGATATGTTTCCACAGTCTTCGATTCCTGAGTATGTGAACATATTGGATACTTGTTACTTACTGTTACTTGGATATACTGTTTCCATCTGTTTCCAAGTTCACCTGTCGCCTGGGCATGTGACTGCTCATCGCCGTTGCTCTGGTGCTGGATGGAGCTTTGGCTACTTGCTTTCTTCACGCACTTGGGCAAACTCTTGACAACTTGCACATGAGTTTAAATGTTCAGATTCCAACCACTATGGCAAGTTTAAGCCTAAGTTTAATAAAACGCTGGATTACCTATTCTTCATTCATTATTAGAAAGCAGTTTGCAATTGCATGATTGCGTTCTTTAAACTTTAAACTTTTAAATTGTGAAGTTATAAGTTATATATATAATAAGGTTATTCGGTCTTCTTCAAAATCAACACTATTGTAATTATATAAATAGTATTGAATATATTCAAAATCATTTTACACAGTATACATGTGGGAAGTGAAGACCCAAGCCCAAATCACAATCGTCTCATGCATACTGCAATCTTAAACATGTGTCACTCTCAACCAAAAATAATCATAGTTTATTTACTTGTCATTTTATTTCGTTCTGGGTATGATCACATTCGATTTGATTAGTACTTTGTATGTTGAGAAATAGTGGCGCCCCAAACTACCACGAGCTTCCCCAAAAATATGTTTTTTGATGATGTCAGGGTCTCTCAAAGGAAGTCCCATGAGGTGACATGAATGAAAGTGTGAAAGCCAAACAAACTAGTAATGTGCAAGGTCTAAGGTCTAAGTGTAAGTGTACATGTAAGATTCAAAATGTACAAATGTAAAACTGCAAAACCATAGGGGGGTCCTTAAGCTTTGAAGCCCTCCATACACACCATTGTTTCCAAGAAACTAACCAATCACTGACCTGGTCCCAGGCTAAAGTTCTTCATGAGCCATCAGAAAAAGATAAGAATAAGAAGTTGCCTGGCAAAGCTATTGCCAGTCGAATTCAAACATGTGTTAGTGTAGAATCTAGGAATCTAGCATCTAGAATCTTGAATGTAAAATTCCAAATGTGCCAGGGCAGAACTTTAATTTTGACAGAAATGACACAGGGCTACTTTTTTAGAAGTTTTAGAATGCAACAATTACAGACTTGGACTTGGCTTGGAAAGTAGATTTGATTAGATTCAGATATAAATATGATGCAAACCCAAACCCACACCCTGATAACGAACTGTGAATGGTCATTCAGGCTACGTGAGAACAGCAGCGTTGGGCACCACACTGCCACGTCAGAAAGGAACCCTTGCCACGCGCAAGACACCACACTGCCACGTCAGAAAGGAACCCCTGCCACGCACAAGAGACCACACTGCCACGTCAGAAACAAACCCCTCCCACACACAAGACTCTACACTGCCACATGGTAGACGAACTGCTGCCACGCGCAAGACACCAAACTGCCACGCGGGAAACAAACACCTGCCACACCAGGCCAAGACTTTGCAAGTGGAAAAAACAAAAAGAAAACCAAAAGAGAAACAAACAAGCAACAAAAAAAACATTAAAAAATCACATTATCAAAACATGTTCTGCGACCCAAAAAATCCAAAGAAAAACATTCGACAAATTGAAAATGCACGTGGCAGAACAGCTCTGCCACACGTGGCACGCCAATGCTGCCACATATGTCGGCTTCACAGCACCAATCCAAAATTAGGGAATGTCAAATTTTAAGGGTTGGTCCGTTTTTCATGGTAGAGGACCCACCTAAGGTATGTGTGTGTGTGTGACCTACCAAGAATGGGGAATGGCAATACTTATTTTTATGTGGATATTAAAACATGCCACTATATAAAAAGGACCTGGTAATATCCACATAAAACTATAACTACATTTTACGTTTTATGCATGGTAATATCCACATAATGTTTATGCAATTCTGCCACTATATTTACCTCTGGTACCTGGAAGAAAACCTGCCGTGAAGAAGCCCCGATATTAAAACGGGTGATTGGTACAAGACCTGACCACGTGCGACCGAAGCCTGGAATCATCGTTACTAAGGATAACTATCCCCAAATGGCCGCAAGTTTCAGGTTAGTGAAACATGTAGTAATTTGCCCAGATAATACTGTGGATGGACAAAATATGACAAAATCCTGCAGCAGTTGGTATGCACCAGTTGTTAGATGGTTTATCCCATTCCTATCCAATTACTGTATTTACAGCATTTCATATAGGAATCCCTTCATAGGAATCTCTTCATAGCTGGTCCCTGGCTCCAACTGGCCAGACTTACATGGATCTGCAGCAGCTGGCGGTTGAAACCTTTCAGAGGCCGAAAGAACCCTGGGAGGGTCCCTCAAGGATCCGATCAATCAGCAACACAAGTGGGACATATTCTATCATATTCTACAACTGGTTGGTGGTTTGGAACATTTTTTATGACTTTCCATATTAATTTGGAATGTCATTCCCCCAAATGACGAACTCATATTTTTCAGAGGGGTAGGTCAACCACCAACCAGACAATGTGGAGCCCCCAAGCGATAGCGTTCCGTTGGTGCAAATAACTCCAATTTGCCTATGGTTTATGATACGCAAATAACTATAGTTAATGGGGTTTATAAACCATTTTACAGGGGCGGGCACATTGTATCCAATAACACTGTCTTTAAAACTTAGACATTGGCTCGTTGGCACTCGTTGGTTTTTTTTTGTTTTTTTTCGGGAGGATCTGTGTTGATTTTTGAGATGTTTACTGCATCCAGACCCAAGGGTTGGCCTGATTTGCACGGGAATATACATGATCTGGTTGGTGGTTTGGAACATGAATTTTATGACTTTCCGTATATTGGGAATTTCATCATCCCAACTGACTTTCCCTCCATCATTTTTCAGAGGGGTAGGTTAACCACCAACCAGATGATGCTGATGGTATCTTATGCATTTGGAGTTCTTGAAATGGGGGGCAAAAATCATGGCTTTCCATACCGAAACGGTCTAATGATTTGGATGTTTTGCACGCGTGGGCCGATTTTCGGACACCTCCATATATTCAGCTACGTTGCTTTATGAACAGATGCTGCACTTTACTTTCCAGGATCTTACAATACAAAAATTCCATATCACTTTTCATTGTGGTAGCAAATGGACTCTCACCAAAGTGGTTCAGATATGTTCAGATGGGTTTCACTTGGGCATGAATTTGGTAAGTTCTGAGGCATGGGGAGATGGCAATTGTTTGACATTTGAGGGATACTACTTGGGGTGCATCCCAGCCACTATAGACAAAAGCAGTTTAGAACCAAGTATATACATACATATATTATAAACATATAAACATATAAACATACACAAACCTTATACATATTATATATATATATATATATATTATATATACACATATTATATACATTTATATATATACATATATATACATTTATATATATACATATATATATATATATATCATATATATATGTACATATACACACACATATATATATATACATATATATATATATATATGTATTATATATATACATATATATATACATATTTATATATACATATATATTTTTCTATATATACATGGGTGTTTCCCTACTATTAACTACTAACTGGTATGCACCCCCAAGTAAGGAGATTGTGGGTTTGCTTCACTTTGCCCAAGTGTTGATGTTATACCCATTTGTGCACTTGGAGCACCGTGTGCCACATGAGGCACAATGAGCACTGTCGCGAGAATGAAGAAGCTCAGCTGAAACAAATTGCTGATGAAGCGGATTGGTCCAGAAATGGTATCTACCCGGAGATGGCAATTTCTTTGGGACGATTGTACCTCAAAATGGGTCCCATCAAACCCAAAATAATGACCATTGGCAATTTCGAAGATGGGGGGTTCCCGATCGCAATGGCAACTTGTGGGTCCCATTTTTGGACACAAAATAGCATCATCGTGGCTTGCCAACCTCTGAAACGATAGCATGCTGCCCTACACTTGCCGAAAACACAATGACTCTGGTGGGCTTCATGGCTGTCGAGACACCTTTTTTACTGGTATCTCATCTGCATGTTGATAGGGGTTTAGGATCCATGTCCCCACCGTCCCCACCATGAAATCCTATGAAATCACGCAATCACCATCCAATCATCACCATTAAATCCTTATGAAATCACCATTAAAAAAGCGAAAAAAACAGGAGATGCGGCCTGGACTTCGAGCCCGTACGGTTTGGGAAAGAATGAGGAAATCCTTGAAGAATGAGGACATCCAAGCACCCAAGAAAATGAGTAAGATACCAATGGGTAACATATGGGTAAATGATTGGGAGGTATGTTACAAATTTTATGATTGAACAGATATATTTCTACATACTAGAATATGATTGGGTAACATACCAATTTTATTCACAGTTCATGTGTATTTGGAGGATCTAGGTAGAACATGAGTGATGTTCCACAATATCGTGTCACTGCATTGAAGAGTCAATTGTCATCTGGCAGACCGAGTCAACAGGTTCGATGATGAAAGAGGCAGGCCTCAGGCCTCAGCAGTCCCATTTCCCAATGCACCACACCTGCAACATCAGTCTGGGAAGAGGAAGTCCCAAACGGTTTTCTCCTTTCCCAATCCAACACCCGAGTAGCTGAGCCAATATTGGATTCATTCCTCTGTGTATCGGACCATGCAAAATCAGTTGTTGCATGAACATGCAAATACTCTGAATGCCACCATGAACGCTGTCAACAAGACTTACGAGAATCATAGGCGGCGAAGGCGATGAATTTTTCTGCTTGGGCCGCCGAAGACCGAATCTTCCTAGGAATACCTAAAAGATGGCTGCGATATCACAGAATATCAGAGTCCTTAAACAAATGTCAGGGAATCCATTTCTGTCATGTTCTATGATGTTCTTTGTAATCTGTGTATTTATATCATAGAAGTTCCGAAGCAAGTTGAAACCCAAGTAAAAACCCATCACACCTAGGGAGAGATACTCCCAATCTTCCCGTTGGAGGTCCACATTGTCAGCCTAGGAAGAACGGCGAAGAGAGCAGGAACGGCGGCGCCGTCAGCAGAAGGCTGAAAAAAACTTTTTTGGTCGGGTTGACGGATGTTGATGGTTGATGGTTGGCAAGGGGAAACTGGTTGGTGGTTTGGAACATGAATTTCATGACTTTCCATATATTGGGAAAAATAATCCCAACATATCCCAACTGACTTTCATATTTTTCAGAGGGGTAGGTCAACCACCAACCAGGAAAGTACTTGGAATCAACCCAAGAAATTTAATCAAAGGTAAGTTGGATTGGATTTTGGATAAAATATTGATAAAAATCAGATAATATTCATGTTCTCATTCACCACGGCCTTGGAACACATTGGGTCAGCATCAAAACATCTTTCGCCGTCCAACGACTCGGTACTTCGGCTTGGTCCGACAAGGTAGGTACATGTAGGTACTAGTAGGTACTAGTAGGTACAAGGTGAGGCTCCAGTTGAACAGTTGGTTAGCAAAGGTAAGCTAAGTTGATTTATAACTACTGTAGGTGAATTCCATGATTTATGGTATAGACATATATATGATATATGCATAGTTAATTTATTTATTTATTCACCAACTTGTAACTGGGGGGGGGGCCTCACCTTGTACAAATAGTTGTCATCTTCCAACGTTCCATCCCTGGAATGATTTGTGCCGTTCGTACAGCCCCATTCTTCAGTACCCCATTCCATCCATTGGTGAATCATATTGAATCATCATATTCTCCCTATTAAAGTGACCATAACCGGGGGTTATATCTTACTTCAGACACACCCAAATACTTGATCCGTGTTTATACATACATAATCATACATATATAATCATATATATATACCTGTGAGTTCCGGGAAACCTCGGTGGGCTAGTTTAGTACTTTAGTCTTTTGATGTCTTTTGCCTTGTCTATGGGGATGCCTATTAGTGGGGATGTCTACTCACCAGATAGAAGTTTTTTGTATCCAAGATTGGGACGATGATATTGGTTCACCCCTGCGGATCCAGATACCGAGGGAGTATTCGAGGTGTGTTTTCAGGGAGCATCTTCTCAGAAAGGATTGATCAGTTCAATGTCAGCCGTCTTGGCTTAATCGTTTGGTATGTGTTGTCACCTGTTAATGAGACGAATACGATGATCATCACAGCTAACCATAAATAGTTCACTGCTGATATATACATATCCCAAAATGGAAGGCTTTATGGATGATTTTATGGAAAATCCCATGAAACTGGATGATTTTTGGGTACCATCATTTTAGGTGTATATATATATAACTATATATATATATAACTATATATACATATAACTATATATATAACTATATTTATATGTATAATATACTGTAGACACATGAGACTCTGACAGAACTGTTCTGTGGACAATCCAATGATTCACATACTATTTGGGGATGGAACCCCACCCATGAAACAAGAATGGATTGTTTATTATTGGGTTTACCACATTAGGAGAAGAGCAACATCTCCCACTAAAAGAGTTATAGAATATTTGTATAAATAGATAGATATGAATAAATAACTATACACATAGATAAATTATATATGAACAAACAAACAATACGAACAAACAAAAAAATACAAATATATTATATATATATATACACATGCATCATCCTGGATCAACATTTTGAATTTTCGTGCATGATTTCAGATCCCTAAAAGTGGCCGGAGGCAGCGGCGCAAACGGCCAAAGAGGCCCAGCGTCGTGGACCCAAAGGCTGGCTGGGTGAAAAACTTTCAGAGTTCACTCATGGTGAAACTTTTCTGGTTGGTGGTTTGAAACATGAATTTTATGACTTTCCATATATTGGGAATAGTAACCCCAACTGACGAACTCATATTTTTCAGAGGGGTAGGTCAACCACCAACCAGTATTGGGATTAGACCATATCAAATCAATGTTTAATAGGTCTTACGATGTTTACAACCTCCTGCCTATGAACATGGCAAGGAAATCCTTGTATATTTTAGTAGCCTCTGGTAAACGTTTACATTTCGCTATGGAAAATCACAATCTTTAAGTTTGGTAAAACAACTCTTTCTATGGCCATTTTCAATAGTTACGTTAAATTACCAGAAGGTAGACCATATCAAATCAATGTTTAATAGGTTGGAGAATCCCATCATTATGAACTTATATTAGATTTAAGAATGATTATGTTTCGATCCAATCAGATCATGATTACATATGAGTATCTGGTTGGTGGTTTGGAACATGAATTTTACTTTTCCATATATTGGGAATTTCATCATCCCAACTGACTCATAATTTTCAGAGGGGTAGGTCAACCACCAACCAGGTATTAGTCATATTAATATCGGGATGGGATTAATAAACATAATGTATCATTTTGTAATTTGATTAGATAATCCCCAGAAACGTTTGGATTTTCGAAGTAATAAGATTATATATAGGGTTGAAGGGTTGAAGACTAAGATTAATCTGATCTGTTTGAACATTTATCACTTGATATATTTTAATATGCTAAAACAGATTATCAGATTGTTCTGAATTATGTCTGGTTTATTAAGTTTATCTAACATGGGGGGGTGAAGGTTCAACAGAATCCATCTACGGTCCCCGAAAGAATCTTCAGTTTTGGACCATACCGTGCCCAAGGGGCCATCTGGTGGATAAAATATCAGCTACTCCCATTCAATGGGGCAGATTTTGGAGGCCATGAAGAGTAACTACCATTTGGTGAATCTTCAACATCTTTCAACCGCCAAACGGGGCATAGGGGTTTGTCTGAAAAGATGGTGGCCCATTTCATCCACTGGTTCATCATCTTTTTTCTGTTAAATGTTTTTTTAAGCAATACCCTCTGGTTATTTAACATAGCCATGGAAAATGGCCCATGTATAGATGGTTTACCTACTAAAAATGGTGATTTTCCATGGCTATGTTAAATAACCAGATGGTATATTACACTTTCAGACGGGCCCAAATATGAACAAAACTGGTTTTACTATGTTTTACTTGCCACCAAAAACAGGTTGAGACTACCACTTGGATCATTTTGGTACTGAAATCATGGGGCCATTTTTCTGGGTTTCAAGATGTGGCAAGCCATGTTTCCTGGTTTATAGACCAAGCTGTGGATATATATATATATATAACAGCCCCTGTGAAACTATTGATAACTATAGTAACTGTTGATAAACCAACAGATGCCTATCGTTTGGGCAGTCCTTGCTGTTGTGAACAGTTTCAGTACGCCCGTTCTCTGCAAAATACAATGGTAAGTTCTTTGGAATTTTCACCAGCCAACTGGCTTTAAATCTTCAGTTTGTTAAATATGTTCTAAAATAATAAGAACAAATAAGATAACCTGGAAATCAATCATAGCTTGCTGGAAAATCCACCATTTAGTTCCATGATGTTCCTTTAAATGCCCATTTAGTTTAGGAAATTCCCAGCTAGTCATGTTTGATTACCGGATAATACATCCATGAATATCCCATCATTATCCCACTCTTATCCCTATTAACCATATAAACCGATATTGTTCATCCTAATATTATCCCTACGGGTATATCCCCTTGTCATCCCATGAATATGCCATGAAAACTATAGATATACCCACCATAAACCATAGATAACCACAGTTAATTAACCACAATTAACCACAGTTAATTAACCATAGTTAACCATAGTTAATTAGCCACAATTAACCACAGTTAACCATAGTTAATTAGCCACAATTAACCACAGTTAACCATAGTTAACAATTGAGGGATATGTGGGAGTTTTGGATTCACATTGAAGTGCCGATAACGAATGACTTGGGGATAGCTCAGTTGACTCAGAACTTCGTGAACCGTGGTTCACCACGGTTCACCATGGTTCTTGAGTAATATAGCTATAGTAATCTATAGTTATCTATATTTTTCTATAGTTATCTATACTATAGTTTACTGTAGTTATCTATAGTTGATGGTTTTTTTGCAACCAACAAACAGCACCCCAGCAACAACTATCACTACAGGGGCCGGGCCTTGTAGACCCACATAACTCCAACTGATTCCAGGTCCTCCAGTGGAGCCGATTGACCTGACGGCCAGCGATTATGAGCCCATGATGGAGGAGGGTTGCTGAGACCTGACATCCCATTTTTCGTAGTGTAACTTGTAGCAACATAACATGACATTTTTTCATGGTGATTTTGGATTTAAACATTTGCCAACCACAGATATATATATATATTCAACTTGTTCAAAATCAGCATGCAAGGTATCCATGTTCCACTATTTACAGCCCAAAGAAAGACCAATTGACCAAGTCATTTTATGCTTGAAACACCCACTTCTGTCACCAGTGACGATATCATCCCGAGACACCTCGCACTGCAGGATTGGCATGCACCTACAGAAATCCAGGTGCGCCTGAAGCTTTTTTGTGGGAGCTGAAAAATGGATGTTTGGCCCTTCTTCGGCCACGGCTGCGAGATGAGGATGTCGCGGATTAGATCTGGAAAAGCCACCATTTGTGAATCATTTTCCTATAGGGAAATGATGGGTTTTCCACATCTATGTTAGTTTGCAATAGGGGAACCTGTCAACATTTTGGCAGAGCTTAGCCCTCATAAATGGTGTTCCACTACCAGAGGGTATCAGGTTGCGTCCCCCCATGTTTCCACGTTCTACTGATTCTACTGGTAGCAAATGTTGATTTTCCAACTGTTGTTCAAGTAAATTTGACTAGTGATGCTGTTCACGACTCACGTCCCTGTTTTTTCTGGTTCTTTCTTGATAACTTCCCAATGTTTTGGACATCTCGGAGGGTGGTCTGCTGCGATTTCTGGCCGGTGATATTTTGCCAGGCCCTGGCCTTCTGTCCTTTGCCCTTTGATGAATACGCAGAGCCCATGAGGGAGATCCTTCCGGAGCCGGTGCGGGGTGACAGCGTTGGTAAGCGGAGTTGCTGGTTAGAACATGTTAGAACCCTGTTATGAATGAACAGTAAGCCCATATCTGGGCCACATACACTCTGGTTATTTAACATAGCCATGGTATAGGTGGCCCATAGAAATGTCGATGATTTTCCCAGCTAGAAACCTCCATATTTATGAGGGATTTTCCATGGCTATGTCTGTTAGTCATAACCAGATGGTACCATCTGCTACTTTCAGAACCAGTCAATGAAAACTTTGGTTGTCCAAGAATAGGCTATGCCGCTATGCCCCAAATCCGCTGCGTTGCCCTTGCCGTTTCTCTATTGGAAAGGCCATCTGGTTGGTGGTTTGGAACATGAAATTTATTGTTCCATCTATTGGGAATGTCATCATCCCAACTGACTAATATTTTTCAGAGGGGTTGAAACCACCAACCAGTCATGATCAGAGGTAGAACCCCTGGTTTTTACCGTCCCATGTCGACTGCCCAGGCCATTCCCACGGAGCCGCCCTTGCCTCCTCCCAGCTTGGTGCAGAGCATCGTGGCACCTGGGGACCGTCCCGAGGTCGTCCTGAAGGGGGCCTGGTACCCCGAAAGACCTGGGGAAAATGATGGGTTTTAGCCACGGTTGACCTCAGAAATTAACATTTAGATAGGCAGATAGGCATATAAATCTCATTGGCATAATCATTGGGCTCATAGATTTTATGTGGTTGATTTCAATTGATCATTTTCTATAATTAACTATATAATATTATATGTGTGTGTGTTTGTTTACTGCCAGAACATGACCAAATAGAATCTATGACGACTCACAAAGAGAAAGGCTACTTGAAAGTTTTTTCCGCTCGCTGAACAGTTACTCTAATATGGCCTTTTACACCAGCTACTAAAACCTGTAAACGCCTGTAAAATTCTCAGTGGAACACATGATTTTCTATGATACTCCCATAAACCATATTCACATGAAGGGTTTTTCTTTAATGTCAACCCTGGATTAATAAACCCCTAGGCTGTTTAATTGGGAGGGTACCATTTAAGTATTAGATTATGACTATTGGAGGAGTACCCCCCTAATTAATAAACCATGGTTTTTTAATCCGGGTTGACATTACCATTGTTCCACTGTTACTAGATGATCCAATGATCCGAGGGTGGACACTTCCCCTTGCCAAGCCTTGCTATCCAGCATCGAGCTTTGCTTTTCAGGAATCCTGCTACCCTCCAAACATCTCTAACTTGGACATTGGTATTCTGGTCGGTTGTTTGGAACATTTTATTTTTCCATCTATTGGGAATTTCATCATCCCAACTGACGAACTCATATTTTCCAGAGGGGCAGGTCGACCACCAACCAGTGTTTGGCGCTTCATCCAACTTAGCAGATTCTACCAGAAATCAAAAGTTGCGATTGCAGGGGAAATCTCCAAGCTAAATGGAGGTTCATAGCTGGGCAAAATCATGGAAGTGGGGGAATTGTCCAACAAGCCGCGGTTGATAAATGGAGGGTAAGCCTGGCTATTTGGAGGTTTCTTGAAATGGGGGTACCCCTGTTCATCATCCATTTTATGTTCGGATTTTCCATGAAATAAACCATCCAGCGAGCTTGGGCTATCCCCATGGCTATGGAAACCCCTATTTCCATGTTATTTCCACGGGGTGGATAATGGGATCATAATGGTTAAATGATGATAAATCAATAGGACAATAATGGGATAATAATGGTTCAATAATATTGGTTAAACAATGGATACCATCTGGTTATTTAACATAGCCATGGAAAATGGCCCATTGAAATAGATGATTTCCCCATCTAGAAACCTCCATTTATAGATGATTTTCCATGGCTATGTTAAATAACCAGATGGTAACCATTGCGAGTGGGCTTATAATCCACTGGCACCGCCGCCCAACCTTGGCCCGATGGTTTATGAGCTCACGAGATCACAGTCGAACCTAAAACAAAGACTCCCCCCATCGTAGAAAACCATGTTATATATATATATATCTTTCCATTGATGCCATAGAAAATCCAAGTCCATCATTTTCAGTTGCAAGCAATCCCGTTTTTGGATAGCCTATCATTTGATCCATAGATTTCTGGCTGCCCTGAAACAGAATGAGGATAATAAACTGTCTAAAATTGTCCAACGCCCCAAGAGGATGTCAGCCTTTTGCTCAGGTTTAGAAAAAAAGTGCGGGGCAAATGTCACTTGCACGCCATGGGGTCAACCTCCCTGGCCCTACTGATCCAAATACCTGCAGAGCCTAAGATTTTGCCACAAAACTCATCAAAACCCTAGATTCCCAAGAGGGAAACACTTCCCAACATCACATCATCGAACCCGTCCTGTGGCCTTGAAGCAGAGGCCAATGGGGGCGATTTTGCCATTTTTTCCGGGTGAAAATGAGTTTGGTACCTGAAAATTGGTTTGGAAAGTCCGTAAATCTGTAGTTTCATCATCCTTTTCATCATTTTCCCTAAGAAATCGGACACAAGGTTAAATGTTTGTAGGTGAGCGAAGCGGCATGGCCACAGTGATTTTTGAGACGGATGATGACAAGCCCACATGAGTTTTCTACCTTATGAAGAGTCCCTTGTTTCAATGAAAAAACCTGAAGACTCTGATGGAATAGAGTAGATCTTGTTCATTTTTGGGTCCATTTTTGGGTGCACCCTAAACTTTCTATTCTCATCTGGGGATGGTACATATGTAAACGGAGGAATCTGCTGGAAGCATCCTTTATGTATTACATTGTATGACAATATCCATCCGTTTGAGGTCGGAGAAACTTTCTGGTCACCTACATTTGGATGAAACTACGACTGTATAGGTGGTGCCTCACATATATTTGGCCATATAAGTTGTTGAATATGACACTGGCTTAACTGTTAGGTCTGAGGGACACCAACATGATGTAGCTATAGAAACTACTATAGATAGATGATTCTAGATGGGTTTATAAATCACCCACATCACTGGGGATGAAATTAAATAGAAAACATATATAGATATTAGATGATGTTAGATGGGTTTATGATGGTGTATGTAATTGTGCAACTAGGTTCTAGATATGTATATATATTTATACACATCATTTTACTATATATGTATGTTAGTTAGATAATATCACTATATATATACATATACATATTATGTGTATATGTATAGTGTTATATATATAATATTACCCGCAAACCCTGTGTCTCGCCGTCGCCAACATCGTCATCTGTCCCTTTCGAAATTCGCTTCTTGTGCAGACGAAACGCGATTTTTTCAATTTTTAAGTTGAAAAATGTGC